AAGAGCGGCCCAGCGCCCCTCTGGTGCGGCAGGGGCCCTCGAGCCCGAGAAACTCCGCCGAATCTTGCGCGCCTCGCAGAGGCGGGCTCTCCTTTGGGCCCCTTGGAAGCGTCGTCTGGTCCTCCAGGGCATCAAAATCTCGGGCCCAGATGGCCCCCCTGGGGTCGCCAGAGAGAGCTGCGATATGGCGGACGCCCTTCGCACCTACTGGAAGCCCGTCTTCGCGCACAAGCTCGTCGACGCCGTCAATGTCAAGCAGTACATCGCCGAGCACATGCCGCTGGGGGCCACCATCGACGTGGGCGCGCCGACCAAGAAGCAGATCTGCGCCTTCCTGGCTCGCACCTCTCCGTCGGCTCCTGGTCCTGATTGCCTTCCTTATCGCGCCTGGCTCGCACGCGACTCGTCGCTGGACCTGCTCGAGGACCTCTCGTTTCACCTCTGCTCGAACGCCAATTTCATCCACGACCTGAACGACTCTGACTTCGCCTTCCTGCCGGAAGGGGACAACCTCGTCGGCGAGTTGCAAACCGACAGGGCGCCCGAGGACACGCGCCCGCTCTCGCTCAAGAACACCGATATCAAGGCCATCGCTGGCGCCGCCAACTTTCTCCTCAAACCCGCTGTGGCAGAGCGGACTCACAAGGCACAACCGGGTTTCGTAGTCGGCCGCAACTTCACCAAGCACATTGTCATACTTGACGCCGAAATGCGCCGCGCTGGGATACGTCCAGATGCTGCTGATCGCCATCCTGTCTTCGCCAGCTTCGACTTCGCGGCGGCGTTCCCGTCTTTGGGTCGGGTCTGGCTCTTCGCGGCTCTCGAGCGCTTCGGGGTTCCCATCGGCCTCATGAGCCTCTTCCGCAACATGTACCACGCGCCGAACAGCTTCCTCAAGGTCGACGGGATCCGCCACTTCATGTTCGCCATCGAGTCGGGCGTCGCTCAGGGCTGTCCCGCCAGTGGCCCTGCTTGGGCCATCGCGATGGACCCGCTCGTCCGCCACCTCGCCTCCTTCATCGAGCATCCCGACGGCACGCCCGACTTCGACAAAGGCTACCTCGGGGTCTGTGCGGACGACACCGGCCTGCTCACATTCTCGTTCGACACGCTGCGCAAGGCATCTGAGCCTTTTTCTGCCGCCGAGGAGCTCGCCCTTCTCGCCCTCAAGCCACGCAAGTGTGTAATAGTGCCCCTGTGGGCGCCTGTCTCTCCTGCCACCACAGCCCAAACGAAAGCGCTCCTGGCCGACCTTTGCCCTTCCTGGGGTGGCTTCGCGATTTCGGGGCGAGCCAAGTACCTCGGGACCTTCCTTGGACCTTCCTCCCCCCTTGCCCTTCAATGGCTCGCCCCAGGGCAACAGTGGTGGCAGCGCAGTAATTTGCTAAATCTTGTCCAGTCTGGCAGTGACGCCACTGTCCGCCTATATAACACTTCTGTCCTGTCCACGCTCAGCTACGTTGCTCAGTTCTTCCCGCTCGACTCCAAGATTGCTCGTCGTGAGCTGTATGTCTTCCACAAAATGCTCAGCATGCCGCCCAACTCTTTTCGTAAGGTAGATCTCATTTCGATGGCGGAATGGAGCCCGCCACCTGTCCTTCGTTCAGCCCAAGTCACATGTGCCGCGGCGGCAATTCGTACAGCCACTCTCACACTCAGTGGAGAATGGGAACCGTTCCTCCACCGCCTGCGAGACACCGCCTGGGAGGAGAGCACGATCCAATCCTTCCCTCGGTGGGGAGCTGGGCGCTGGTCCCCCCCCTTCTGGGAAGAGGCCTCGTCCATCGTGCAATTCTACCATGCCCTGTCTAGCGGGCAGCGTGTCTCGCCATTTACCGCAGCAGCCGTGGCCCTGGCGAACCGCGCCGCACGAGCTGAAATTCGAGAGGCACCCGACGCCGACCCGCCGCGTCGCCCGAAGGTACAGAGGGCGGTCGCACTCGCGCTGCAGCGTGCCTTTTTCTCTTCGCCGTTCACAGTCACTCTCACGAAGCGCCTTGCAGCGTGGGGCCTTCAGAATACGCCGCCGCCCCCAGAGCTCGCCACCCGCTGGACCACTGTCGCAAAAGCGCTTGGAGAGGTCCGCCCCAGCTGGCGCTGGGCGGTTTTCAAAACGCTCAGTGGCGGGTGGACGACCACACACCGCATGCATGTACTAGCTCAGCGCTCGTGTGTATTCGGTTGCCCGAACGCACCCGATTCTTTTCCCCACTACCTCTCCTGCTCCGTCCTCCTGCGCCTCCTCTGGTCCCCCGACCCCGCTCCGCTCCTTAGCACATATACATCGTGGGGCTTAGGCCCTGCATCAGCGTACCCTTCCGAGCCTGCCAGCGACCTCTCGTTGCGGCAGACGATTCGCAGGGTTGCGCTTGCTTTCCACATGTACAACAAAATGAAGCAACACGCAGCGCCGTCGCCAGCAAATATTGCTGCAGCGATGGCCGCAGCGAAATCACTCCTGTGGCGTTGAGCCGCTGTCCGCCGTCTCACGCCTTGCCTCACTATCTAGGCAGGCTTGCGCGTGGGCTGGGCTGACAGACGTGGCCGCCTCACTGTACGTTCACCTCCCCCTCCTCTCGTATGCCTCCTCCTCCTCCATTCTCCTCTTCTTTCTTCCCCTTCCTCTCTATCCTCCTCCTCCTTACCTCCTCTTTCCTCCCCTCTCCTAATCATCCTCCTCCTTCCTCCTCCTCCTCCTCCTCCTTCCCTGCGGTTCCTGTACTCTCCCCCCCCGCCATCTCCTCCTCCTCCTCCTCCTCCCTCCTACTCCTCCGCCTCCTCCTCCTCCCTCGCCAGCCGCGGCTCAGTGACGCCATCCGAGAGGCCCGGGTCCCCGGGAGGAACCAGGCGGCCTCCCATGCGATCCCGAGCCTCAGTTATTTTTTTTTGTTGTTTCTTTTTTATTTCCCCCTCCCCACACCCCACCAACTCCGTTTTTTTTGTTCCCCCCCCCCCCCCCCCCCCCCCCTTGTGTTTTTTCTTAAAAGGCTGGCTCTCGCTTGAGGCGCCGGCCTCATTTCTGCTCCCGAATCGTTCCGAATCGTGCTCCCGCTGCAGCGGGGGCCTCATTTTCGGATCGGTGTTTGGCCTCCGTCGTTCAGGATGGCGTTCTCGCCCCAGCGCGGGCCTCTTTCTCGCGCGCCCATCCGCCCGCCACCACCGCGCCGCACCACCACCAACACCACCACGACCACCACCACCACCAACACCACCACCACCACCACCACCACCACCACCACCACCACCACCACCACCACCACCACCACCACGACCACCACCACCACCACCACCACCACCACCACCACCACCACCACCACCACACCCACCACCACCACCAGCACCACCACCAACACACCACCACCACCACCACCACTACACCACCACCATCAGCACTGTATACCACCACACCAGCCCCATCCACAAACCACGCCACACACGCACGCACGCACGCACGCGCTTTACCAACTCACCCACTAGTTTACGCACGCGCGCGTCGGATGTACACAGAGTTCGTACGACATGATGCGGTCCGCGGCTAGAGAAAATCAGGCGCACATGGTAGGATGGAGGGAGTGGAGGACGTTCAGATATGACGTTGTGCGAGCGTAGTATCCTAGCTTGTGTCCCTCCCACCTCCCCCCACACTCCCGCCTCCTCTCTCCCTCGCCCAGTGTCCGATCCTTCTGGCACTCCCTCCCCTCCCCCCACCCTCTCTTCCATCCCGCCCTCCTCACCCTCCCCCTCCCGATACTCACCTCCTCCCCCCCGTCCTCCTTCCGCCTCCCCCCCCTCCTCCGTCCCTCCCCCCTCCGCTTCCTCCCCCTACCCCCCTCCCTCCCCCTCCCCTTCAGCCCTGCGACCGCGGGTGCGCGCGGGCTCGTGTTTTTTTTTTTTGTTGTTTTTATGTTTTGCATGTTTTTTTTGGGGGGGGGGGTTGTGCAGCGCGCCCGCGGCGCCTCCCTTCCCTGCGGGGCGCGGCGCGGCCTCCGCGGCCCTGCCGCGGCCGTGGGCGTGCGCAGGGGCTCTGCGCTGCTGGCGGCGCGGCCGCGGCCGAGCGGCCGTGCAGGCGTTTTTGTCCCCGGGGGAGCTTCCGCGGCGGCATGTGGTCTTACAGCACCTGGGCGAAGCCCAGGGCTCGCTGGGGAGTGGTTTCCCCCCAAGGCGTTCGTCCCCGGGGGAGCTGCTGCGGCGGCGTATGATCTTACAGCATCAGGAAGCCCAGGGCTCGCTGGGGAGTGGTTTCCCCCCAAAGCGACGGGAGCCCCCCCCCCCCCCCCCCCCCGAGACCCCGTGAAAAAGCCTCCCGGAACCCTTCCCGGAAGGTTTTCGGAGGGTTTCGGGAGGGTTTGGGCTGTTTGCAAAGACCGCAGCATTATCAGGAGCGAAAGAAGGACGTACACGCACAGGAATCCACGCTGGCTTCGAGAGTGCGCATTGCGCAGATGTTCGTATGACGCGGCCGGTCTCGCAGATCGAGGGGCCGTGTTCATGTACACAGCTGGGCGCGCTCGCTGGGGAGTGGTTTCCCCCCAAAGCGACGGGAGCCCTCCCCAACCCCCACCCCCCCGAAACCCCGCGAAAAGCCTCCTGGAACCCTTCCCGGAAGGTTTTCGGGAGGGCTTCGGCCGTTTTGAAAGGCCAGTCCCTCGCGAACCCTGGATTCTATAATTATAGTTTGCGTATGTTCATATCGGATGTTTTGATGCAGCTCCTGTGAGCTTCTATTCCGATTCGGAGCTGGTAAGTCCCTCGGCGAAGCCTGGCCCAATCTGTTCGAGCCCCGCTTCATCCGATGTGGGCCCGCTGAGTCCGCTTGTACCCCGCCCTGTCCAGCTCGATCCTGGGTGCGAGCCGGCCTAATCCAGCTCACTAGCCTTCCATTGCGGCTTATCTGCTCTGAATCGTTTAAACGAAGACCCCCCCCCCCCGGGAATTGCCCCTGAATTTCTTTCCCTCCCCCAGCCCCTCTTCGAACCTCGACCCACCCCAGTCCGGCGCAGGAGTACAGGGTGGTCACCGAGTTCGCGTACGTGCGGCAGCAGCCGTCGCTCTCCGCCGCGATCCGGGGCAAGAGGGCGCGCGGCGACCACCTGGGGCGGGGCAGACCCTCTGCGGCGCGCAGGGGCGCTTCGTATCGCCGTGCCCCCTTCTCCAGGGGAATCGAATCGTAAGCAACCGCGTAAGCATAAACAGTTGGAGCTCCGCGTGGATGTCTTGGATCGGCCCTGGCCCACCCGCGCGCCAGGGAGGGGGGTCCAACGCCGATCCCAGCACTGCTCGCGGAACTCCGAAGGTGTACAGTTGTATGCTGGTTGTTCTTCTTTCAAAGAAGAGGGATGGGGTGGAGGGATGAAGGGGGAGGGGGGGCGTTGAGGATGAGGCCCCAGAAAAGCCACCTTCTGGAGCCTTTTTGGCCCCTCTGGAACCTCTAGGCGCTGGAGGCCTCTAGCGACCACCAGGGATCCTTGAAGGCCTCTGTTGGGACCGCTGGGGGGAAGGACAAGGAGGGGGGGGAGGTGGAGGAACAGGGAGGAGGAGGAAGAGGAGGTTGCAGAGGAGGCGGAGGGATTTGATTCCCCCCCCCATTCCTTCTGTGCCGTCGTCTGGTCCCGCGTGGCTTGCTCGCTCTTTGCGCTGTTGCACAATCCTCTGCCCTGGTTCTTTGGCTTTGGGCTACCTGGGCACTCATGGCCTGGCCTCCCTTTGTCCAGGGGGGCGGCGGATTAGCTGAATCAGAGTGTTCCGTGGTTCTTCGGCTCGGCCCAGAAAAGGAGGAGCTAGGGCATATGGACGTCTCTGGGCGGGTGTTGGGGTTGCGGCATCAGTTGGAGGTAGATGCTGAAGAGGTACATGCGGAGAGAGTGGAGGCGGCGAAGGAGGAGGAGGGGGAGTAGGAGGAGGAAAAGCTGGAGGAGGAGGTGGATGATGATTATGATGATGCTGCTGCTGATGCTGATGATGCTGATGATGATGCTGATGATGATGGCGATGATGCTGATTATGCTGATGATGATGCTGATGCTGCTGATGATGATGCTGGCGATGATAATGATGATGATGATGATGAGGAGGAGGAGGAGGAGGAGATAGATGATGATGGTGCTGATGATGACAATTATGATGATGTTGAACATGATGATGATGATGATGATGATGATGAGGATGATGATGATGATGATGGTGGTGGTGATGATGATGGTGATGATGGTGATGATGGTGATGATGATGATGATGGTGGTGATGATGATGATGATGATGATGAGGAGGAGGAGGAGCAGGAAAAGGGGGAGGAGAAAGAGGAGGAGGAGGATGCGGAGGAGGCGGAGGAGGAGGAGGAGGAGGAGGAGGAGGAGGAGGAAGAGGAGGAAGAGGAGGCAGGCTGGCAGGCAGCAGGGGAATGGGGAGGACGGGGAATGCTTTCGGATGTCTGTTGGAGGCCCCTTCGAGCCCCAGTGGAGGTGTCTTTCTCTTCCGTGCCCCCCCATCCGTCCCCCTGTCTCCTGATTTTTCTGCTCTCCCCCTCCTCCTCCTCCTCCTCCTCCTTCTCCTCCGCCTCCTCCTCCTTGTCGTGTCCGCCTCTCCCCTCCTCCTCGTTCTTCTTTTCCTTCTCCCTCATCCTCTTAGGGAGGAGGAGGATGGGGGAGGAGGGGGGAGGGAGAGGGGGAGGGAGGAGGGGGGAGGGGGGGAGGAGGGAGGGGTAGGAGGGGCGAGGAGGGAGGGGGGAAGGAGGTAGAAGGGGGGAAGGAGGTAGACGGGGGGAGGAGGGAGGGGGGAGGAGGGGCGAGGAGCGGAGGAGAGAGGCGGGAGGAGGGGGGAGGAGGAGCGAGGGGGGGGAGGGAGCACTGCGACCCTCCTCGTCCCGAGCTGCGCTGCAGGTGCCCTGTCCTGTGCCGTGATGGGCCGCCCCCCCTTCCCACCCACCCTTACACGGCTCGTTTCGATTCGTCCGATCCGGTTCGATTCGACTTCGACGGCTTCTGATTCCGATTCGATTCGATTTGGGATTCCGATCTTCGGCGGCGAGCGAGGGGGGAAGTGAGAAGGAGAAGGCCTTCGCAGAAGGCGGCGGGGCTCCTCAGAAGCCCTCGCGCCTTCTGAGACGGTTTCTTTCCCCTCGGGGAAGGCTTAGAACATTTTCTCAGAAGGCCCGGGGACTTCCGAGCCATCTGAGAAGGCCTCCTCCTTCTCACTTCCCTCCCTCGCTCTCGCCGCCGAGATTGGCATCCGATTTTTCACTGGAGGCAGGCTAGCTTGCCGATTCGACTTTTCCCGACTCGGCTGCCGATCTCCGTCGATCCGGTCCTTACGATCGCCGATCCGGGGCCCCCAAGGCGAAACGGTCGTCGGCGTGGCGGAGACGTTCGACGGCTGGGTGCACCTGTCCGAGGACGGCTGGATCATTAAGGACCGCGGAGGGTGGTGCACATGCAGCGGAGCGCCCCCTGGGAGGTCGTCGTCGTCGTCGCCGCCGTCGTCGTCGTCGTCGTCGTCGTCGTCGTCGTCGTCGTCGTCGTCGTCGTCGTCGTCGTCATCGGCTCCTTCCTCTTCCTCCGCCTCCTCTTCCTCCTCTCGCCCCTCCTCTCCTCCCGCGGGGTCAGGAGCGCGCGAGGGAGGAGGAGGAGGAGGAGGAGGAGGAGGAGGAGGAGGAGGAGGAGAAGGAGGAAGAGGAGGAGGAGGAGGAGGAGGAGGAGGAGGAGGAGGAGGAGAAGGAGGCGGATGCGGCGGAGGAGGAGCAAGAGGAGGAGGAGGAGGCCGATAGTTAAGGAGCAGGAGGAGTAGCAGGCGGAGAATGATGATGAGGCAGATGAGGTTGAGCATGAAGCGGAGGAGGAGAATGGTGTGAGGACGCCCAGGAGTAGAGGAACGATGCGGGGTTGGGGAGGGCTGCTTAAACATATGACGATGATATGCAGGAGGATGAGGAGCAGCAGGAGGAGGAGGAGGATGCATGAGGAAGATACCATGATAAGTGAGGAATGATGGTTACTAGCAGCAAGAGGCGGATTCTGGGGGGGGAGGATAGGAATGAGGGTGGACAGGGAATCAGGATGAGGATAAACTGGAGGAGGGGAGAGAGGAGGGTGGATGAGGGTGTGGAGGGAGATGATGAGGACATTAACGAGGATCGCGATGAACAGGTTTAGGATGAGGATCAGGTCGAGGTGAAGGTTGGGGGATGTGGTCAAGGAGATGATTGAGGATGAGGAACAGGTTGAGGATGAGGTCAAGGAGACGGTTCTGAGGGAACGCAGGAGGAGAGTGGCGGACCATGAGGAAGGGAGGGGACTGGCGGCAGGAAACAGAGTAGCAGGGATGAGACGAGAGGAAGGTGAGGGGGAGGAGGAGCTGGCCCTCCCCGAGCGACGGCGGCACTGAGCCCGCCCTGCCATGTGATGGAGGAGGCGGGGCCGGTGCGCCAGACTGCGCAGTTCTTTCTGCCTCCAGCGAGGACATGCTGGGTAGACACGGCGTCGCGGAGGTGCTCTCTCCTCCTCCTCCTCCTCCTCCTCCCCCCCTCCTCCTCCTCCTCCTCCTTCTCCTCCTCCTCCTCCTTCTCCTCTTTTTCTTCGCCGAGCGATGGGGGCGACGATCCGCCCGCAGCGTCATTCTCGTCCTCCTCCTCCTCCTCCTCCTCCTCCTTTCCCTCCTCCTCCTCCCCCTTCCGGTCCTGCCCCTCCCGCTCCCCCTCCCTCTCCCCGTCTTCCTCCCACGAGGTGCTCATCTCAGCGTCTCCTGCCTCCAGCTGTCGGATGGTGGTCTCTACCTGCTCTATCTCGTCCTCGATATTGATTGTATCCTTTTACTGCATGGGTTATTCGAGGTACCTCGATCTGATGTTACTTTTATTGTACAGCTTGGATTCTTTGCTGTGCGCCAGTAATTTCGCCCTTGACTCCGACCAACACAAGTCTCGCAATCGAAGTCTGTTTCCCTTTGCCTCCCATTTTTGTGAGGTTGTACTTTATCCAAGAGATTTCTTTCTCGGCCCGATCGTCTGCTTTTCCCATTTCTGCCATGGCTCTGCTCATCGTGACCAACTGATGGATCCTTCTGCGCCTGTCGCTTCTCCAGCTAATCAGTCTGTTCTCGTCCTCCAGCATTGGCTCGAGACCGTTTTCGACCTGGAAGGTCCACGCTACACCTTAGGCGATGCTTAAGAAAACCCGAGTTTTCGGCCAGAGTCTCGATTATTCTTAACGTTTCAATGTAAATCTTAAGATTTTCAGAGGAATTCTGGGTTTTTATTCAAGTTCTGAGACAATTAATTTCTTAACCCATGATTTCTTAAGCATTTCGCAGGGTGCACTGCACCTCCGACTGTCGCTCCCGGGACGCGGGTCTCTCCCGTCCTGGCGCAGGTCCATCTTCGGTCGTCCCGGCTTGACAGCCCCACGCTTGAATTTGTCGAAACGCTCGTCCCTCGGACTGCTCGACCAAGGAGTCGACCGCCTTCAACTGGGACCCCCAGGAGCCTCCTGAGCCCCGTTGGGTAAAAAAAAAAAAATGTCGAAACGCTCGTCGTTCCATCGTTCGCGCCGACGTGTCAACGAACTCGCAGGCTGTTCTCTTGGCACCTGTCGACTGTGGTGCGCGCCCGACGGGCGGAAACCGAGCCGATGGCAGCAGCGAGCAACCGATCCCTACGTCTACGCCTTCTGAGACGTCTGTGCCACGGAGGCTCAATCGTGGTCGTACTGTAAGCGGAGTGTGCAGTAAGCTTTTCACAGCACACCCCCACCCAGGGCCATTTCTCTCGCCCTCCAAAGATCAACGCCCTTCGTCCGCCTCCTCCTCCTCGTCCTCATCCTCGTTGCCCCTCCTCCTCCCCCTCCTCCTCCCCCTCCCCCTCTCCCCCCCCCCTCCCTCCTCCTTCTCATCGCCCATCCTTGCTCTGCGGCCCCTCCGCCCCGAGGTGCTATCCCCGGTGGGCCCGCCCCCCGTGCTGGCCGTGCCGGAGCCCCTGGCGGCGCCCGGCCCCGTGCACTTCGAGGTTGCCTTCAGGCCACACGTGGCCGTGCGCAGCAGTCCGTCGAAGGAGCGCCGTCGTAGTCGTCGTCTTCGTCGCCGGTCGTCGCCGTTGCGTTCGCCGTGGCGGCCGTCGCGTTCGCCGTCGTCGCTCCGAGGAGGACAGGAGACCGACACCGCCTCCCTTCTCCGTCGCCCCTGCTGGATTCGCCCCGAGAGGCTGGTCACAGGACGCTCCCCGGGAGGGGTGCGGGGAGAGGCCGCATCGGCACGGTGCTCTTCCCCCGTCGTTGTCGCCGCCGTCTTCTGCGTCGTCGCGGTCGTGTTCAATGTGGTCGTCGCGGTCGTGGTGGTGGCCGTCGTCGTCACCGTGTTCGTCGTCGTCGTGCTCGTCGTCGTGGTCGGCGGCGAGGGCGGGGGACTCCCTGCTGTGAGGGCCACAGTTTCTTCGTGGGGTTTCCTGTGGCCGAAGTCCAACTGTGCGACGTTTGCAAATGGGGGATCGGCCTCGCGAACGTTCGCGCGTAAGTTGGCCGCGCAAGGTCGCGCGTGCAGCGTCCTCTTTCATGTATTTCGAGAGCCGCGCTGGCGGCCCGTGTAAGCCATCGCGTAGGACCGCAGTGTCCCTGTGTGCCGTTCTACCTTCGTCTCTCAGCTGTGCTGTCCTCGCCGAAGCAAGAGATCCATGCAGATATCTGAGGGCGGCGCTGGACCCATTCCGTGGCGCCAGAGGCGCCGCCAGGGGGGGTCCAGCGTTGACCCAAGACATCCGAGAGGACCGCTGGATGTTCAGGTTGATGCAGCTTTCTGTTCTTATCTCAACGGTGCTCTCCTCAAGGAGGCCCTGATCATGGGCGTCAAGAGATTCGGGGAGGAGGTGGTGTCCGAGGTCCAGACCTACGGGGGCTGGGTGCGCCTACAGGACGGCTGCTTCGTGCTCAGCGTGGACGCGTCTCTCGGGCGTCTCCTGAGGTGCAAGGAGCACGGGGCAACGGGGGCTTTGTTCCTCCTCTGTCTCGTTCGCACTGACCCCTCTACCTTATAGATAACCCGTCCCTGTCGCGCAACCAAGCGTGTCGTTAGGGCGGGCTGGGCGTTTCACCCGATGAGCTTTACCCGTTTACGACATTGAACCTTGGCACGTCCAATCCTCACACGGATGGACGGCGCGTCTTTCTCCAAATGGAGCTCTCGCCTTGGCGCCGCACACATCGACGACACGAGTGGAGGATTAGTAATCGTTTTCACCATGGGGGCCCTTGTCTCGGCGTTGCTCACACTCGTTCTCACATGTTCCAGCAGATTCGCGGATGTGGCTCTCGTCTGGGACTTCCAGCTTCCAAAACA